ACAGAACCAGGCTGGGAAGGGTGAAAGCTGAATTTTAGGGTTTAGTCTGAGCCCCCATCTTCAGTCAAACCATAAGGACAGCATGAAGGACTGGCCATAACATTGTTCTGGAAGGTACTTGCAGATCTCTTGTACATTGCTTGTAAGACACCTTTTTAAAATAAACAGCTGTGGTATGTGATTGACTCAGATTTGAACTTTGCAGCTGTTCCTTCCTATCTGGCTGGTATGCCAAAGCAAAACTCTGCAGCTCAACATCTCTAAAATCAAAACCTTAATTCAAATATTATAATTTGGATCAGCTTCTGACTTTCTGGTTTTGGCAGTGTAAGCAAAATGGAGGCAAGTGTGTTTCTTTATCTAGTTCAGAAAAATAGATGTTATTTATTTACTTAGAATCATACAATCACAGAATCGTTTAGGTCAGAAAAGACCTTTAAGATCATCAAGTCCAACCGTTAACCTAGCACTGCTGAGTCCATCACTAAACCATGTCCCTAAGCACCACGTCTACATGTGTTTTAAATATCTCCAGGGATGGAAACTCAACCGCTTCCCCGGGCAGCCTGTTCCAGTGCCTGACTAGCCTTTCAGTGAAGAAGTTTTTCCTAATATCCAACCTAAACCTCCCCTGGCGCAGCTTGAGGCTGTTTCCTCTCGTCCTATCGCTTTTTACTTGGGAGAAGAGACCGACCCCCACCTTGCTACAGCCTCCTTTCAGGTAGTTGTAAGAAAGCAATACGGTCTCCCCTCAGCCTCCTCTTCTCCAGGCTAAACAACCCCAGCTCCCTCAGCTGCTCCTCATAGGACTTGTGCTCTAGGCCCTTCACCAGCTGCTTAGCATAAAGCAATGTTGTGTAGTAAAAGGCAACAGCTGAATAGTTTTAGCTGGACGTGAAAGTATAACTTGAGGTAGAGTATCTGGCTGTCAAAATGGCGTCTAAAGAGGAAGAAAGTTTTACTGATATTTGAAGATGGTTTGTTTTGTTAGACTGGAACAACCAAAAGATTTGTGCATTCAAGAACTCAGTTTTATACTGACATCTTTTCACTGTGTTAGACTTCACTTAACACAGAGCCTGACCATGAGCATGATTCAGGGAGTGGAGTAAATGAGGCTGAAAGGGTAGTGTCTACCCATCCAAGAGCTGTGCTGTCCAGCCGAGGAACGGTGGATTGTTTGATGGGGTGGGATGGCGCTGCTGCAGCCCCTCACACTGGGGAGCTGCCATGGTGTGCGGCTCATGTGGGTGCTTGCCATGCTGGGCTGTTTGCCTCCTGGGGCACCCGCTTGCCCAGCGCGGATGGCCTCCTTCCACACCTGTACAATTGAATGCAATAGTAAAAATAGGGGGAGGCCCAAATGACTAAGGGGCGAGCCTACCTTTTGTAGTCTGCTTCCTCAGCGAGAATTATTTTGAATGAGTTAATACCAAAGGGGTTAAAGAACTGTTGTATATTTTGAATTTGGGGTGTCAAAGCAAATATTTTGACAGTCGGTCAGAAGTGGATATTGAGCGGTGTGCTGTGAAGAACATACAGTTCTGTCATGGAAAAAACTTGTCGAGGGATGGGAAACTGAAAGGAGGAATAAACAACCAGTTTTCAGCCTTGCAAGGGCCTAGCTTGTGTTTCTGTTGAGCAAAAACTGAAGAAAAGTGGTGACCAGAGTGCTGGAGGGAAGCTTTATGTAATGCAGTTATTTAGCACAGTCTGCATCTGGAAAGGCTTCAATGCATGGCACAAACATGCTGTTGGAGCCGCATGAGAATTGATTAGGTTCATTTGGAAACTCAAGGTGGGGTGTGTTTCAAGGAAAATGTTAACCACAGAAGTGTGACTCAGCTGTAACTTATCTCCTGTACTTTGCAACCTTTCCTTGCTAAGTCCCACAAAGAAGAAATGCCCCTGCCCCTCCTCTGGTCTATGCGCCATCCTACTTTATATGTTTCTCTCCATCTGCTCACAAAAAGGAGTTGTAGGAGAGTGGCCCCTGCCTCTCATCTGGTCTCGCCATCCTACTTCATATGCTTTTGTCCATCTGCTCACAAAAAGGAGTTGTCGGTGAGTGGTGCATTCGACAGCATCACTGGTGCAGGAATAAATTTATGCAGTTCTCCCATGAATAAGGGTATGTCGCTCTGGACATACGTTTTGTACCAGAATAAAGTATTCATTACCTGGGAGAAGCCAAATTGTGAAGGTTTCATTGGAAAGCAAAGTATATTCTGTTGAACTGTAGTAATTGATGACATTTACTAACTTTTAGGTGCTGTGAAGTTTCCCTGTGTTGCACAATGGGGAAGTACATGTTCCAGTGAAGTCCTGAGATTTGACATGACCTCCATGTTATCTTTAGACAGGCTATTTTGCTTATGCAGCGACTTTTCTGGAGATACTGTGTTTTAAAATGTTACTACAATTTATTCTTGCACTTGCATTTCAAATAGAAAAGAACCCATGGTTTGGTCTTTTCTTCTGATTCTAATATAGCATCCCACATTTGTTATCAGCGCTGTGTTTTTATGGCTGCCAGTGTTCATCTGGGATTTCCACCTACTTAAGTAAATATGAACTTTGTTCTAGCAGGTACAGAGTAAGCAGTAACAGCTATGATAGCTGTTCAACTCTTATGTCCCTTGCCTCTCAATTAAAATCCTGGAATTACAAAGACAAGGAATTCACACAGGTGCGGTGCTTGCACTGAAATACAGATTCTAGAGCTTTTTGGAACTTCTCTTAAAAAATAAAGACATTTGCTATTAAATTCTCTTTAATTGTGCAGATGACATCAGAAGAATGTAGGTTTGTAGTGGGCATTTCCTACATTCCAGTTTTTATTTAAAGTGGAAATACTGAGAGAATTAACTTTTTTTTGGCAAGCTGACACTTCAGCTCTCTGTTATTACAAAGGGTGTATTCGAGTCATCAGTATGTCAGGCTGCTTGAAAGCTTCATGCTTTCCCCCCAAAAATGGAAAATGAGCTGAACTGTTATCTCAGTATGGCTAAAAGCACAAATAAATGTGTTTTGCCTTTTTTTTAAGTCAATGCCGTAACATCAAACTAAGGGAGACAAAACTGAGTTATTGGCACAGCAGCTTAAGTCCATTTATCTGCTAGTACCAGAGGAGTCTGCAGATCTATACGAGAAAGAGTAATGTGGATAAAATCTTGTGGATGATTCACTACGACTAGTATAGGAGGGAGCAGAAATGGCTGGATGAAATTCTGAATGTGTTGAAGTTGTGGGTGTGTGTTTTGTTTTGCATTCGGTGGGACTAGGATTCAACCACTGGGCTCAAAACTCCTGGGAAATTAAAATACCAACCCCATGACAAAGCTAAAAAAAAATTGGGGATGTCTGTTTTTCTGGCATCTGCTGACCCCTTTGTGTTTGGCAGCAGCGCAGCAGTGAGGCCCAGATCTGGTTCTCGGCTCTCCTGCCTCCAGTTCAATGTCAGTATTTTGGGTTTTGTGAGGAAAACTTGGAAGTGCTACGTTCTCATCACGGAAGGGGTAATGTGAGGGCATTTCCTGCTCCCCCCCCTTGCTTTCAAGCGACAGTTTCAGTTCAAGCACAGAGGCGTGTGTAGTGATCTGTTTGTTATTTTAAGGCCAATATTTGGATATGAGTTGGAAGTATAGTGATCTCTGATTGCCTTTTGTACTAAGATAAGTGTAACTCTGGGAATGTCATCAGCTACTGTTGAAAGGCAGCATAAAGGCTTGGGGAAAGCCCTGGGGAACATTTTGCTGCAGTCCCAGGGTGCATAGGACTGTGGAAGGGGGGAATGGAGAGGAGTCAGGAAGCTCAAGGCTGACTGGCAACCCCTCTCACCGGGGCTCTTGGCCACTTGGCAGCAACTGGGGCATTTTTCCGCAGATTCCTGTTTACAGTGGCGTAAGTCACCGGAGGCTGCTGGTGTTGGCGTCAGTTGACGATGAGGTGTGTGACATACCTGCAGGCCAACTGCTTTTCTGAAACACTGGTGCAAAGCTGGATACAAAATGCAGGGAAGCACTGCTCCTGCAAAACCCAGGCTTCAAAGGGATGGGCTGTGTCACTGCATCGCAGGGTGAGCTGTCCCCAGCTGCAATCCTGTTCACCTCCTCTCGAGGCCGGGGTTGGCTCAGCTGCAGTCAGTGGAAACCCGGAAGGTTGGAACAAGGTTCCTTCATTCCCCTTTGCACCCAGGTACCCATGGCACGTGGAGCTGTGCCCAGCTTCCTTCCCGAAGCTGCGCCGTGCTGCCTCCCCAAACTGAAGGCAGGAGCTGCACGTCTGTGAAACTGCTTAAACGTGTACGAACATTTTGCTGGGTAACTGCCAGCAACCTTGGTAATTTCGACCAGAGGAAGATGGTGGGGGCGTGGTGGTAGGAGTGGGTGGGACCAATGGGTGTTACTGAGACCTTTGCTTGTGAAGTGCTTGACAAACACCCGCAATGGGATGGGGCAGAGCAGATACCATAAGTACGGCAGGGCAGTGGGAGATTAATCACTCCCCTGGGATGAACCTGGGAGGTTTCCAGCAGGCTCTGTTTGACGGGCTCTTGTTAGAGCTTTTGCATGTTGATGTGGATCTGCACTGATCTTGGCTCATTGTGGGGGTGGAAACGAAGACTTTTTTCTCACTGCTGATGTGTTGTCTCTTTTTTCTTGTAGGTGTGTGATGTCAACCAGTGGGCAGTCCTTGCGGAC